TTTCGATGATGCTGAAAAAGATGAGAACATCAAATCAAAAATCTAAATTTTGACGAGTGCTTCGATTTCTCGATGGCCTCATGGGTGCTCTCTTAAGATTTTGGTTAATTTTGTCTGGAGTATAAGTAGATAACCTTTATAATGTTATATAAAGTGAAAATAAAATAACATATACGTATGTGTGATAATGATTGAATATAATAATTACACATACAAATTAAGTTTTTTTTTTCTCCAATATTTAAAAGAAAAATTTCGTTTAAAAAATCGAAAGAATAATTTTGATCATAGACAGACAAGTCAATGTACTTTATTGAACAACATTAAATAAATAAAATTTTGAAGTTTTGCAAATTAATTTGTTGAGATTTCTCTAGAATATTTCGTAAATATTTGTGTTTTTCCTTTTTTTTAATAATAAATAATTTGACTAATCAATGATTTAAATAATTTATTAAAAATAAATATGATTACTTATTTTTAGGCTCGTAGTCCTGTATTTGCTGCAATGTTTTCTCATTCAATGTTAGAAGATCAAAATTCTACAATTGAAATAACAGATTTACAAGCTGAAACAGTTCGTTGTTTACTTGAATATATTTATACATCGAATGTTGAAGAAATAAATGAACATAATGCAATAGAAATTTTTAAAGCTGCCGATAAATATGAATTAGAATTTTTAAAACAAAAAGCTGAATTAATAATGATTAATTCTTTATCAATATCAAATTGTACAATGCTTTTTATTGTTGCTGATTTACATAATGCAATTGAATTAAAAAAACGTATTTTAAATTTTATAATGCGTAATATAATTGAAATAATTGAAACAGATGATTGGCGTTTATTAGTTGAACAACATCCAGTATTAGCAACTGAAGCATTTGTTTATTCAGCTGAACATGCTGCATCATGCGCTTGTTCTTTGTAATAATTTCTTTTTTTTTTGTTTTATTTATGTATAAATAAAAATAACGAACAAAATTTATTTACAATCGAAGAAAAATATAAAAGAATTTTCATTTACGTTTTTTCTTTTGTTTTTTATATCACGCATATAGTTTAGAATCATATTGTCTAATCAAATAGAGAGTATAAACGTTGCTGACAGCACATTTCAATTCAATTTTCTTGATTGAATCTTGTCTGTTCATAGTCTTATTCAATTTGTTTTAAAAACTATGATTTAATGTCGTTTTAGTTATTTTCAAACAAAAGAGAAA